TAATTCATTTTATCTTTACTCTGCAACATTTAGGTTTTATTAGTGTTTTCTAAAAATCAATATGCTATTTATACCTGAATTAACTTTCAATTAACTGAGCTCTACTCAGAAAGACATCATTGGTTTCAGTCCCTTCATGGGATTTGTTCCACAACCATAAAAATTACAGAATGACGCCAGCCTTATTCTTTAACATGTTAGGATGAGAAGGGAAAATCGGACTTTCTACTGGAGCGACAACTTAGAGTTAGTGTGCGGAGAGAAGGAAAAGATCACAGAAGAATCAGTCGATTAATGAAGAGACGATTAATTGATCAAACCAAGTCTGTTGCTACGTTCAGAAACGTAACGACCAGTTTTTAACCTCATCCTCTACGGTGTCTGAAATTCTTCAACCTGGATCTGAACTCCTCCCCCTCACCCAGATACACCCCTGCTCCCATCAGCCCCCAGGACCCAGCCCCCACAACCATCACGGCCTATAGCAGCAGGCTAACAGCGGGCTAATGCTAATGAGACCACAATTTAACATTAATGTACTGTCACTGTTAACATTGCATTAGTCTGCTATTAGTACTCCCAGTGGACCGGACCATCTGGGCCACCATACGGTGTGACAGAGGAGAGGAAGAGGAGGAGGTGAGGAGAAAGGAAGAGGAGAGAGGAAGAAGAAGCCACAAGAGAAGAAAAGGAGAGGAGGGAAAAGAGAGGAAAGAATATCTTTTATTCCTATCCTTAAAAAATGTAAGTGTCCCCTGCATCTTCCCACAATAAGTTTCGACATCACTCGTTTGATAATTCCGCTGCTTTTTCAACAACAAGCTTCATAATCTGACGCTGGATGACAGGAAACAGTCGCATGTGTAAAACTAACTTTTGTGTTTTCATTAGTTGCTACAGTCGCTCATTAAACTTCAACTTGTTGCTCATGTTAAATCCCCTCAGGCTGAGAGAGTCTCATCCACTGCGTGGGAGTCTGCCCCTCAAGCTCCCAGAGAAAAGTGCTGGGATGTGGCTGTGCGGCTCTGACGGAGGCCGGGTCGTTAACCAGACTTACAAAACAGTTAGTCCTCATCCTCAATGTCGCTTCTGTTGATAAATTGAAAACCGTTTTAAAACATTCGTTATAAAGCACGAGTCTCATCTGTTGCTGATTGATGTTTGTTTTCCAGCGTGTAAAGGGCTCATTGTTGTGTCTTGTGGCCACTGTGGGGAGAAGAGCCAGTGCAGCTAATGTTCTCACCAGCCATTAGGTGCCAGTGGGCGTCTGGTCCCAGGGGGCAGTAATGAGCCTGTAGCTGCTTGGTGCATCCCAACGAGGCGATGAAAAAGCCGTAACCAAAAACAGACTTGTATAAATCGCTTAAATGAGGGCTCATGCTTTACTGACGTGTTGTCAGACAATGTTTTCTACTTTTTCAAGAGAAAAGACTCAAACGATGAGGACGAACTGGTTGGTTTCTGTAATGTGCGTCTGGTTACCATCTGCACCCCCGTCAAAGAACGGAGCACAGTCGCTTCTCTGAGCTTTTCTCTACAGTGGATGAGATCAAACCAAACAGTATCATCTGAATGAGACAACTTTTAGAATGAACTCAGAGACAACAGGGAGGAGTTATCAGAGGCTAAAGTGCGCTGCTGCAGAAACAGCTTAAAGTGGGACAACCTTTCTACATTACAGAATAAACAGCTGACTGATCTACACCCACAACATACGATATTGTGACCGATTCCATCAAGATCAAGGACGACGCTGAAATAAACTGAATAGCAACTTAACTGTGGATTCAGCTCTGTGTGAATAAACATCATTAAACAGCGTCACTGTGTACTTTCGCTTTGAAACATAGACTCAATGTCGATACGGCTTTTATCAACATGGACTAACAACTTATTCAGGAACATAGAATTTCTTTACAACAACAGGGATTCATCATTGTTAAATCAAGACTTACTAATGGGGTAAGAAAAGGATCCTGTGAGGTGTTATCAGAGGGAAGGTCATGGATCTACTGTTCTACTTATTGAGCCTAAAACCTGGGACTTGTTCAGGAAGACAAAATGTTTTTGCAGCGTTCAGATACAAATGCATTGCAAAGGGTGTTAAACAACATCTGTAAAGTCTTTTAAAAATGTAATCCATCACAGATTAATTCATTTGCATTGAGTTTGGTTACTACTAGTATTACGACTTGAGTGTTTTAAACAGCAAAAAGGGACAAAATCAGTGTATTCTTACCCAAACTGATGTAATTTAATATTTCTGTTACTTGAGGCCTTGTCCGGGTCTTTCTTCCCAAATCTATCAACCCTGAAGTTAAACACACACAAGTTGCTCTTATTTCCAGTCTGCAGGTTTATGTGGATAAGCAATCACTATTTTAAACATACAAAAGATGAATGAGAAGAACAGAAAGTGCTTCCTTTCAAAAATGGAAATACTGTGAATGAATCTGGACTGTGATGGATTTAAATTTGAAATAACACAATCAAATTACTG